AATTGTTTAAGCTCCACGCTCACTGACACACGCGCACGCAAACCATAAACACAAGGATCTCAGTTGTATATGCAAACGTATGTACATTCATATACACACAAACACACACAAACATACATTCACATACACACACACGCACACACACACACACACACACACACACACACGCACACACACAAAAAAACACATACACGCACACATACACACACACACAAAAACACACATACACGCACACATACACACACACACAAAAAAAAAACAAAAACAAAAAAAAACAAAAAAAAAAAACACACACACGTACGCACAAAAAAAAAAAAAACAAAACGAAAAAAAATACACATATGTCAAACAAATTTCAGAATCTTGTCTCCTCTCTGTCTACGGTTACGCTAACGAACCAGAAAACGCATCTTAAAGCTACATAATATGAATACAAAATACCATTACGTACCCTAATAAACTATAGTAGTAGATGGCAGTAACACCATATTAATACCACGATACAATGATACCAGGATACAACAATACCGTAATTGATACTATGCTAATACCACTAATAATACAGTGGTAGAAAAAATCATAGATATGAACTGGTATGAAAATATTTGAAAGTTTGAAAATTCCCAATGACACTACGTAGGAAGTAAAGGGAAAAGAGAAGAGAATAGAAAAAATGGGAAGAGAGAGAGGATTAAGAAGAAGAAGAAGAAGGAAATAAAGAAGAGGAAAAGGAAATAAAGAAGAAGAAGAAGAAGAAGAAGAAGAAGAAGAAGAAAGGAAAGAAGAAATAGAGAAAAAAATAATTTAAAAAATAATAAAAAGAAGAAGAAAAAAGGAAGAAGTAGAAAAATAATAAAAAGAAGAAGACAAAAGGAAGAAATAGAAAATAATAAAAAGAAGAAGAAAAAGGAAGAAATAGAAAAATAATAAAAAGAAGAAGAAAAAAGGAAGAAGTAGAAAAATAAGAAAAATAAGAAGAAAAAGTAAAAGATGAAGAAGAAAAAAATACACCTTAGATTTTTAAAAGTCTCTTCTCTAGATTGAGGATTATACAAATGAACTGAAAAGTGATTATTCTCTTTCTTCCATCCCTCTTTCTTCTGTGTGGAGTTCTTTTTTATTCTGGCGTAATATAAAGGGATCTGTTCTAATTTGGGCCTTGTGGTTTGCATACACACGTATACACACACATGCAAACATACACACACATACATTTAAACATACACACACACAGACACACACACGCACACACACACACACACACACACACACACACACACACACACACACACACACACACACACACACACACACACACACACACACACACACACGTATATATATATATATATATATATATATATATATATATATATATATATATATATAGAGAGAGAGAGAGAGAGAGAGAGAGAGAGAGAGAGAGAGAGAGAGAGAGAGAAAGAGACGTATTTATATGTATATACATACATAAACATAAACAATTACCAGTGTCCGTGACTCCCCCAAGATAAATAAATAAATAGATAAATAAATAAATCCAATCAATTGCAAACAAGCAAGCAAGGAGAGCCAAACACAGGCAAACAAGGAACGGAATCCCGTGCAGCGATGTCAAAGCGAGCGAGAGAGCCGCTCGCTAACCACCCGTTCTCGCTCGCTCGTCGGTTTGTTAGCGATTTTCCGCTGACTCACGCACGTTCTGGGGCGGAGCAGGCGAGGCGTCGAGCCCAAGTGCCTGGCTATGTTTGCATGTATTTATTTATTTTTGTCTATGTGTTTGTCAGTTTATGTTATGTCTGTCTATCTGTTTGTCTGTCTAGTTTTTCTCTATCTATCTGTCTATCTATATATATCTATTTACGTCTATCTACCTATATATATCTATTTATGTCTGTCTATCTATCTATCTATATCTATTTATCTGTGTCTATCTATCTATATTTTCTCTATTTATCTGTGTCTATCTATCTATATTTTATCTATTTATCTCTGTCTATCTATCTATATTTTCTCTATTTATCTCTGTCTATCTATCTATATTTTCTCTATTTGTGTCTATCTATCTATATTTTCTTTATTTATCTGTGTCTATCTATCTATATTTTCTCTATCTATCTCTGTCTATCTATCTATATTTTCTCTATCTGTGTCTATCTATCTATATTTTCTCTATCTGTGTCTATCTATCTATAATTTCTCTATCTGTGTCTATCTATCTATATTTTCTTTATTTAACTGTCTTATCTTTCCATCAATTTATTTACCAAACCTACATATTTATCCACCATGTATCTCCTATACATCCACATTTGCATATGAATCATTTATTTTTCCATGCGAGAAATTAGCAATAAGCACGTAATGAGCGAATATCCGAGGCTAGTGTTGCTATCCAAGCGACTGCTCAAAACTAGCGAAAGGTGCTAACTGCTACGTCATGTTTCTTAAGGGATAACGGTATTATGATTCGGAAGAAAAAGATCTGGATCTTCTCACATATTTTCAACTGATTAAGTGGATTTTTTTTTTTCTCGTCTCGTATCCTGGTAACATGGTAAATTTATGTCAGTTTATTCGTTCATATTTCTGTGGGTGAAACAGATAAGATTAGGTTGTAAAAAAGAATGATTTCAGCAATGTGAATATTCTCATTCATATTTCATAGTATTCGATACTCAGATTCGCATTCGCATTTTCGTATGTTAAAATATACATATATATACATATCTATCTATCTATTTATCATTATGTATACACACAGACACACACACACACGCACGCGCGCGCATACATACATACATACATATATATATATATATATATATATATATATATATATATATATATATATATATACATATATACATATATATATATATATCTATATATATATAATATATACAATGTATATATATATATATATATATATAATATATATATATATATATATCATATATATATATATATATAATATATATATATACATATATACACACAACATGAAAAAAAGACTCATATACAACACACAAACCAACCAACCAACAAACGAACAAACTCACCCAGGAACACCTCCGGACTCCATGTGATTAGCGAGTGTGACGTCATCAGACCAAACGTCATACTGCCACTTGCGAAGACCGAGGATGCCACACAGCACGTTTCCGGTGTGTATTCCGATGCGCATGTCGACGTTCAGGCCTACTTTGTCACGGACGATTCTGGGGAAGGAGATAGATAGATTTATGACGACAGATAGATACTCACATACGGAGAGGTAGATAGATGTGGTAATAGATATATCGTTGTATACAGATGGGTAGAGAGAAATATTAAAATGGATATATTAATGGTCATATAGATACCTAGGTATATTAATGGATGTGTAGATAGATATACAGATAGATGGATAAAAAAAGTAGATAGATTGAGAAGTAGACAGATAGATATGAATATATATATAAATATATAGATTGATAGAGATAAATAGAAAGATAGATAGGTAGATAAATAGACAAAGAGATAAATGGACAAGTAGATATACAGATAAATAGATGGTAGACAGACACAGATAGATAGATATTCACAGATAGAAATGTATATAGAGATACATACACACTTGCATACATACATACATACATATATACATAGAAAGATGGATAGATAGATACATAGACAGAGATAGATAGACAAATAGATAAATAGATAGATAGATAGAGAGAGTAAGGGAGAAAGTCATAAATATTGACAGATAGATAGAAAAAGAGAGAAAGTCATACATATTGATAGATAGATAGAGAGACAGCTAAACTGATGATAGATGGAGAGAAATAGACAGGTATAGAAACAGACAAATATATATTGTGCATGCGACAAGGACATTAATGGTTCTCAGACTTGCCTTGGGGGGAAGTGGATAGGGGGGGGGGGTGTCAAGGAAGGAGGAGGGAGGGAGGGAAGGTGAAGACGGAAGGGAGGGAGGGAGGGGGGGGGAGAAGGGAAAAGAGGGGAGAGGGGAGGAGAAATGAGAGAAGGAAGTAGGGAGAGAGTGGGAATGAAGAGGCTTGGAAGGGGAAGTGGGGAGGAGGAATAGGGAAAGAGGAGAAAAAAGAAAAGAGAGGGGAAGGAGGGGAAAGAGAAAAGAGAGGAGAAGGAGGGGGAAAGAGAAAAGAGAGGAGAAGGAGGGGAAAGAGAAAAGAGAGGAGAAGGAGGGGAAAGAGAAAAGAGAGGGGAAGGAGGGGAAAGAGAAAAGAGAGGAGAAGGAGGGGAAAGAGAAAAGAGAGGAGAAGGAGGGGAAAGAGAAAAGAGAGGGGAAGGAGGGGAAAGAGAAAAGAGAGGAGAAGGAGGGGAAAGAGAAAGAGAGGAGAAGGAGGGGAAAGAGAAAAGAGAGGGGAAAGAGGGGAAAGAGAAAAGAGAGGGGAAAGAGGGGAAAGAGAAAAGAGAGGGGAAAGAGGGGAAAGAGAAAAGAGAGGAGAAGGAGGGGAAAGAGAAAAGAGATTAGAAGGAGGGGAAAGAGAAAAGAGAGGGGAAAGAGGAGAAAAAGAAAAGAAAGGGGAAGGAGGGGAAAGAGAAAAGAGAGGAGAAGGAGGGGAAAAAGAAAAGAGAGGAGAAGGAGGGGAAAGAGAAAAGAGAGGGGAAAGAGGGGAAAGAGAAAAGAGAGGAGGAGGGGAAAGAGAAAAGAGAGGGGAAAGAGGGGAAAGAGAAAAGAGAGGAGGAGGGGAAAGAGGAAAAGAGAGGGGAAAGAGGGGAAAGAGAAAAGAGAGGAGAAGGAGGGGAAAGAGAAAAGAAAGGGGAAGGAGGGAAACAAAAGGTAAGGGTATGGGGGAGATGGAAGGGGATGTGGGGGGAGGGGAGGGGAGGTAAAGAGAGGGGGGAGTTGGGAAGGAGAAAGAGAGAAGGGAAGGAGGAGGGAGATAATGAGAGGAGATGAGAGAGAAAAAAAGAAAAAGGACAGTGAGGGAGAGAGGAGAGAGGAGAGAAAATACAAAGGAGGAGGGAAGAGGAGAGAGGGGAAAGAGGAAAAGTGAGAGAAGAAGAAGGAGGAAGGGGAAGGAAGAGAAAGAGATAAGGAGAGGGGGAAGAAGGTGAAAGAGGAAATGAGAAAGGGATGAAAAATGATAAAAAAGACGAGAAATAGAGGAAAACGGGAGGAGGGAGATAAAAGGAAAGGACGAAAGGAGGAGAAAGAGAAAGAGCAGAGAGGAGAAATGGGGGAAAGAGAGAAAGCGGGAGGAAGGTGGTAAAAGAAAAGGAGGAAAAGAGGAGAAAGAGAGAAAGCGGAAGCGAGGATAAATGAGAGAAAATAAGAGAACGAGAGAAAACAGAAGAAATGAAATGAAAAGGAAAGGAGGAGAAAGAGAGAGAAAGCGGAAGGAAGGAGAGAAAAAGAAAGAAAAGAGGAGCGAGAGAGAGAAAAAGCGAAAGAGAGAAGAGAGAAGGAATGGAGGAAAAGAGGAGAACGAGAGAAACCAGAAGGAGAACTGAGAGAAAGGTAGAGGAGGAGTAATGTTGCAAATTCGACTGTCATTTGCTGGCGGATGGATCACTTAGGGGAGAAGCTTCAATCACGGAGATTAATAATTCATGAACTGATGGAGAGAGCTCATCAAAGGAAGCATCTGGAAGAATATTAATTGAATTGTTTAAGCTCCACGCTCACTGACACACGCGCACGCAAACCATAAACACAAGGATCTCAGTTGTATATGCAAACGTATGTACATTCATATACACACAAACACACACAAACATATATTCACATACACACACACGCACACGCAAAAACACACACACACACACACAAACACACACATACACACACAAAAACACACATACACGCACACATACACACACACACAAAAACACACATACACGCACACATACACACACACACAAAAAAAAAACAAAAACAAAAAAAAACAAAAAAAAAAACACACACACGTACGCACAAAAAAAAAAAAAACAAAACGAAAAAAAATACACATATGTCAAACAAATTTCAGAATCTTGTCTCCTCTCTGTCTATAGTTACGCTAACGAACCAGAAAACGTACCTTAAAGCTACATAATATGGATAGAAAATACCATTACATACCCTAATAAACTATAGTAGTAGATGGCAGTAACACCCTATTAATACCACGATACAATGATACCATGAAACAACAATACCGTAATTGGTACTATGATAATACCACTAATAATACAGTGGTAGAAAAAATCATAGATATGAACTGGTATGAAAATATTTGAAAGTTTGAAAATTCCCAATGACACTACGTAGGAAGTAAAGGGAAAAGAGAAGAGAATAGAAAAAATGGGAAGAGAGAGAGGATTAAGAAGAAGAAGAAGAAGGAAATAAAGAAGAGGAAAAGGAAATAAAGAAGAAGAAGAAGAAGAAGAAGAAGAAGAAGAAGAAAGGAAAGAAGAAATAGAGAAAAAAATAATTTAAAAAATAATAAAAAGAAGAAGAAAAAAGGAAGAAGTAGAAAAATAATAAAAAGAAGAAGAAAAAAGGAAGAAGTAGAAAAATAATAAAAAGAAGAAGAAAAAAGGAAGAAATAGAAAAATAATAAAAAGAAGAAGAAAAAAGGAAGAAGTAGAAAAATAAGAAAAATAAGAAGAAAAAGTAAAAGATGAAGAAGAAAAAAATACACCTTAGATTTTTAAAAGTCTCTTCTCTAGATTGAGGATTATACAAATGAACTGAAAAGTGATTATTCTCTTTCTTCCATCCCTCTTTCTTCTGTGTGGAGTTCTTTTTTATTCTGGCGTAATATAAAGGGATCTGTTCTAATTTGGGCCTTGTGGTTTGCATACACACGTATACACACACATGCAAACATACACACACATACATTTAAACATACACACACACAGACACACACACGCACACACACACACACACACACACACACACACACACACACACACACACACACACACACACACACACACACACACACACACGTATATATATATATATATATATATATATATATATATATATATATATATATATAGAGAGAGAGAGAGAGAGAGAGGAGAGAGAGAGAGAGAGAGAGAGAGAAAGAGACGTATTTATATGTATATACATACATAAACATAAACAATTACCAGTGTCCGTGACTCCCCCAAGATAAATAAATAAATAGATAAATAAATAAATCCAATCAATCGCAAACAAGCAAGCAAGGAGAGCCAAACACAGGCAAACAAGGAACGGAATCCCGTGCAGCGACGTCAAAGCGAGCGAGAGAGCCGCTCGCTAACCACCCGTTCTCGCTCGCTCGTCGGTTTGTTAGCGATTTTCCGCTGACTCACGCACGTTCTGGGGCGGAGCAGGCGAGGCATCGAGCCCAAGTGCCTGGCTATGTTTGCATGTATTTATTTATTTTTGTCTATGTGTTTGTCTGATTATGTTATGCCTGTCTATCTGTTTGTCTGTCTAGTTTTTCTCTATCTATCTGTCTATCTATATATATCTATTTACGTCTATCT